TCCACTGACAGTGGCTGTGCTCCTAAATTAATTAACAGTAAAGATGGTGTCCCACAGACATGCATCCAGGCCACTCTAATCTAAGCATTCCCCCCACAGATGACTTTAGACAGAGGCGAGTTAACAGGCAAAGTTGACTAGAGCAAATTCTTTTGCAAACAAACATTAAACACTATAGACAACAGGCTGGGGCATAGGTCAATTGTGGAGAAGTTGCCCAGATTATTTATACACACGCACACGCACACACACATGCACACGCACACACACACACACACAATAAAGGATGAAGGAAAGATTAAGAGAGAGAGGAGAGAGGGGCTAGAGACAGAAATAGAGAGAGAGAATAGATTACTTATAACACACAGTATGTCCTATCCTGTGTGTCATACAGGCAACTTGCACAGTAAATATTAAGATTTGACTTTGCAGTTAGGCAACCTGTGTTCTAATCCTGACTTTCTAATTTATTGGTTTTGTACTTTTGAGTCTTTGGTAACCCACTTCTTCATCTCCAAAGAGGATACAAGAGTACATACCTCAGACTAGACTATCCATTAAGAGGGCTAAAAGCTACTGTATCTGTAAAGTGCTTAGAGTCAGACCTGCAAATACAGTGAGCACTCAATCAATTCTATCTCCCATTATTAATTTTGTAGCTGAATAATAGCAGCTCCTTAATTGAAAGTTGACACTTATAATTTGTTTTTTTAAAAAGTGTGTGCATAACCTTAGTTAATTTAAAATAAATTTGGTAGAATATTAACCCTAAACATAACCTTTGTCAGAGCTTGGTTAATTACTTTGACAATTAGTCACCCAGAACATTAATAATATTTATGAGTATTCAGGTGATTTCTTTCCTAAGACTTTCATTAACTGAATGTGCTGTTTGAAAATTTCATCCATGTACATAATGCATACTGATCACTGTCACCCTCTTTCAGTCCTCCTTCCTCTCCCTCTGCATCTCCACTGACATGAATATCTAGTTGCGTGTTGTGACTCACTGAGTTTAACCAAGGCCAAGTTTGCAGCTATGCACTCAAGCCTGGTGGGCTCAACAACAGATACACAACTGGCAACATTGATGCCTCGTCTCAGCACTCAGACAATTTATAAAGAAAAATACATTAAATTTCTTCTATAATTTGTGGTCTAACAGAATTTTCCAATCTGTATAGACCCACTCCATTTCTCATGTAAGCTATTCTTAGCAGCCTTGTTTAAAAGCTCATTGGCAGTGACTAGAGGTGCCGGACTCAGTCTGCATGTCACTCTTGCAGGCAGACTGCTGCGTTCTCAAGTCTTTCAGACTATCACCACACAACCAAAGCTCTGATCCCCTTCATTGATGTGATAGTTTGAGGAATGGGAGGTCATTTCTGGGTCTTACTAGTTGACTATGATTTCTATTGATTAGATTTAAAAATCTATGTATCTTCAAGTGATTATTGAAGAAGAAAGCGTCCTTAATCCAAGACAATTATGTATTAAAGAAAATCTAGGTGCTTTTGTTTTAAATGTGAAGTTTTTAACACAGACATATTAATCATTCTCTTTTAAGTTTCCATGAACATTTTTGGGTTTTTGTTTGTTTGTTTGTTTGTCTTCTTTTCCTTTTCGGAAGGACAGTTTCTTGGCTGAACCTAGTTAATTCTTTTTTTAAAAAAAAAAAGAACCCTGACTGCTCTTAGGACTGGAGAGGGAGGGGGAGGGAAAAGGGAGGTGGAAAGGAGGTGGAAAATTTTAATAAATATAAAAGAAAAGAAAAAGGATAAAAGAAAACAAACTATCTTTTTTATTTTACATACTAATTCCAGTTCCCACTCCCTCTCCTCCTGCCTTTCCCTCCACTTAAACCCCCCACTCCACCCTCATCCAATCCCCAGAGAGGGTAAGGGAAATTATTTTGAGGAAGGTTCAAGACCCTCGCTACTGCATCTACACTGAGCAAGGTATCCATCCAAAGAGAATGGGTTCCCAAAAAGCCAGTACAAGCAGTAGGGATAGATTCTGGTGCCACTACCAGTGGCCCCTCAGTCTAGCCCAGCCATACAACTGAACGGATATTCAGAGGGTCTAGTTTGGACCTATTCTGGCTCCTTCCCTGTCTGGCTGGAGTTAGTGAGCTTCCATTAACTTGGGGAAACTGCTTCAGTGGGTGTATCCATTTTGCTCTTGACCTCTTTGCTCATATTCTCACTCCTCCTACTCTTCAACTGGACTTTGGGAGCTCAGCCCAGTGCTCTGATATGAATCTCTCTGCCTCTGTTTCCATCAGTTGCTGGATGAAGGTTCTATGGTGATATTTAAGATATTCATCAATGTGACTACAAAGTAAGGCTAATTCGGGCATCTTCTCCTCTATTGCTTAGGATCTTAGCAGGGGTCATCCTTGTAGATTCCTGGGAATTTCTTTAGAGCCAGGTTTCTGGCTAGCCCCATAATGGTTCCCTCAATCAAGAGATCTCTTTCCTTGCTCTCATCTCTGCTTTTTCTCCATCTTGCCTATCCAGTTTCCTTAAGTTCTCCTCCCCCTTCTTTTCTCCCCTCCTCTTCCCCTTCCAATCTTTCTTCTCCACCCACCCCCATGCTCCCATTTTTTTTTGACAATTTTAACTATTTTGCCTTTCCACGTGGATCTATGCATGTTTTTCTTAGGGTTCACCTTGTTTCTTAATTTCTCTAAGATCATGAACTATAAGTTCAATATCCTTTGCTTTTCACTTAGTATCCACTTATGAGTGAGTACATACCTTGTTCATCTTTTGTAATAGTCATCCATGCTTGTCATACTTATTGTTAGACAAATCAGGTTCTTTAGATGCATAGAGATTGTATTATGCATAGATAGGTAATCTTTAACCACTTCAAAGAACTGCAAAATATGACATTTAAATACCTTAGGGTTCTGTTGACATGAGACATGATTGCTTCTGGCAGCATTGATCTATTCCTTAGAGAATGTTGGGCACCAAACACACTCCACTTGGAACTTGTTTTCTTCTTGGCAAAACTGGCCTTTGGACAACAAACTTGCCCTCCCTTGACCACTGATAAAATGCATGGTGTATCAACTGGACAAACATTGAAAGTCCCTCTAGGATCCCCTGCTCAGAACCCGCAGCTGGTGTGTTCTCATGAGAACATCCTGCTTGCTTGAAAGACTCTCAGGACCTGCAGCTAGCTGCTCTCATGAGAACGTCCTGCTTGGTTGAAAGCCCTCAAGACCCCCAGGATGATGGAGGAGGGTTAACTGTCTATATGTTACTTTCATTGGTTAATAAAGAAACTGCCTTGGCTTTTGATAGGACAGCAGCTTAGATAGGTGTAGTAGACAGAACAGAATGCTGGGAGGAAGAAGGCAATGAGGCCATCGCCATGACTCTCCTCTCTGAGACAGCTGCAGGTTAGAATCCTCCTGGTAAGCCACCTTGTTACACAGATTATTAGAAATGGGTTAGATCAATATGTAAGAGTTAGCTAATAAGAGGCTACAGATAATGGGACAAGCAGTGTTTAAAAGAATACAGTTTTCATGTAATTATTTCAGGGGTAAAGCTAGCTGGGAGGCGGGCGGCGGGAAGCGGCCCACCACTCCTTCTACATCAGGACCTGCAGCTGTACTGTTTTCATGAGAACATCCCGTTTGCTTAGGAGAATAGGATATCTGTGGTCAGCACATGTGCCAAATTTAGAATGTCAGCAGTTTACAAAAGAAACAGTCTGCCCCCTTGAGTAATCTAACAAGACCAGATGGGAAATTTCAAGGCCAGAATGGAACATCTAGGAAATAGCATGGATAAACAACATTGTCCATTGTCACTGTCTGATCTGTTTAAAATAACCAGTGATTTTTATGCTCTGAAAACTGCCGATTACGTAATTAATTTTGCCTATATAAGCTTTCTGAAATTTTGCTCGGTGTGCTCAGTATCCCTGAAGTCTTGAGTCACCCAATAGCGCTATTGACATAAACCTCTTGCTGTTGCATCTGCTGGCCTGGATTATTGAGTCTGGGGACTTCCCTCATGGCTTTAGAAATTCTAGGGTCTTGCAACATGAGGCACAGAAAAGATAGCCAAACCATGCCAAGGCAGAGTATGATGGCTTTAAAATGTTTCTTGCCTCTGAAAGTGGTCTGTCAGTTACTCTAGGCCTTATCCAAAGTTGATAGCCACAACATTGCAAATGAGGCCATGGGTGATTTACCAGGTAGTTGGTTGTCTCTGTCATTTACTGTATCATTTGGAAGTTTCTTGATTGTACAATCTGTTTATTCAAGTAATATTATTTCCCTTCTCAGGTCTTTGATGGGGTTGAAGACTAGATAGTCATAGTTACTTTCTTCTCATGACTTAGCCAAACCATTCCTAATACAAGATTTAGACTCCTTAGGATAGGATAACTATTGAAACATTTAGCATATGTTTCTTGCTTGATATTGTTTACACCGGTTATAATTCTAATTTTTATATTTGATATTTGTTCTTATTGTATATAGTTTTATATTAGACTTAGAATTATTTTAGACAAAATGGGGAGGTGCTGTGGGAACTCTTTCAGTCAATACCCTGTAAGATACTGGTCCATTTGGGGCATGGTTAAATATACTATATATAAGATATAAAAATGTGTGTGACCCCTTGGTTACTGAATTTGGTTCCTGTTCCCCACTCATGCAGAGGACTACAGATCTGTGAGTATACACCTAAGTAAATAAACCTTTATCATACTCCATACTGAGCTAGTGTGGGACTATTTTGTTATAATCGACAATATCTCTAGGCACTGTGCTCATGAACACACACCCACACATAGTAAAAAGCACAGACATACATTCTTCCTGCTAACAAAATTTTGAAGAGGGAAATGCCCAGTAAATTTCATAGTTCCAGGACTTCCTGAAGCTTTTGATGTGTTTACTTAAAAACCTTCACTTCAAAATGAGATGCTCTATCTTTGAGGAAATTACTACACAATAGGGGGATACAATATTGAGTCATATGGCAGTTCTATTTATTTTCTGAGAAACATTAATACTGTTTTTTCTTCTTAAGACACGGAATTGCCAAGATTCTGTTTTGAGATTCTCAATCCAGTAAATGTGAAAAGTCTATGATGGTTACTTCACACCCATCATTTCAATTGCATTTTGTGCCAATGATCCAGAAGGGTGTCATGGTGCTAGAGTTCTCCATTTGCCTTTCTAATATCCTTTATGGCCTAACTTCCAGCTGGATCCTGTTTGTCAACCCCTCCGAGTCCTTGTTGCATTGTCTTCTTTGTAATTGTACAGCTGTTCTGTGCCTGTAAAGTTACAAAAGAGGACAAAAGCCAAATAGTAAAGACACAAATGACATCAAGAAATGTCAGTAGGTTAGGCCTTGGCAGACACATGGAGGTCAGCCACAGCTCTGTCCCCGGCCTCTTGGCCTGGGCAGGTAGAAATCAAACAGGAGCCACTGGGCACCTCTCGTCAGACATTATTATGGTGGAAAAATTCCACAGGGTGGGGAAATTGGAGAAAGAGTAAAACAGAATGGTATGTGGGCTGAGGAGAGAGATAAATCTGAAGAGGTGAGGGCAGTGAGAAATAGGCTGATGTAGATGGGCTTCTTTCCCTCAGGCCATGGTAATAGCACATCCTAGGCTGTAGGGCCATGTCTTGGTCTATATAGCCCTGTTGCGGCTAGGCTCTGGTTTACCACTGAGGATCCTGAAGAGGCCCACAGACTGGGCCAACAACTGTTTTAGTCTTTGAGGGTCAAGGTTCCATGGGGGCCATACAGACATGAGTGGCCTGTGCTGGCACCGAGGGCCATGGTGTCCTCCACACCAAAACTGCAGTCTAGGGTCAGGTCTGGCTTCTAAGCTCTACTGCAACCAGGGTCTGTGTTAATGTTCACGACTCCTATTGTCACCAAAGACCAAGCAGATGCCAGGGGTCTGGGCTGCTACCTGGGGATTTGTTGGCATTTTAAAGTAATACTGTACTTGGGGCCGTGCTGGTCAGGGCAATCTGCAGTGCCAACTAGGGGCACAATGATAACCAGGCTTAGGCAATTGCCAAGAACCATGTCTAGGCCCTGGTCCAATCACAACCTGAGTTTGTGTTGATATCCATGGCCCGTGATACCATAAAAGGCCACATAGATTCTGAGGATGAACAGTTGCCACCTTTGGCCATGTTGGTGTTCAAGGACTATGCCACTGTTGTGTCCTTACAGACCTGAGTGACATGCATTGCCATATAGGGCCAAGGCATCATATGAATCAAGGCTGTGACCAGACCATGTCTGGGTCCATGCCCTGGCCATAGCTAAGGTCTGTGCTGATATCAGAGGCCCTGCTGTCAGGTTCTATGGTAATACTTAAGATATTCATCAGTCTGACTACAGGGTAAGACCAGCTCAAGACCCCTCTCCTCTATTGCATAGGGTTTTAGCTGGGGTCATCTTTGTGGATTCCTGGGAATTTCTCTAGATTCCGGTTTCTTGCTAGCCCCATAATGTCTCCCTCAATCAAAATATCTCTGTCCTTGCTCTCAACTCTGTTTTTCCTCCATCTCACCTATCACATTCCCTCAAGTTCTTATCCCCCCTCCCCTTCTCTTTTCCTCTTCCCCTTCTGCTCTCCCTTTTCCCCCACCCCCATATTTCCAATTTTATCAGTCAATCTTGTCTATTTTGACTTTCCGGGTAGATTTATGTATGTTTTTCTTAGGGATCACCTTGTTACTTAGCTTCTTTAGGATCACGAACTATAAACACAATATCCTTTGTTTATAGCCAGTATCCAGATATAAGTGAGGACATACCATGTTCATTGTTTTGGGTCTAGGTTACCTCCCTCAGGAGGGTGTTTTCTAATTCCATCCATTTGCATGCAAATTTCAAGATGTTATTTTTTTTGTACTGCTGAGTAGTACTCTAAGATGTAAATGTGCTACATTTTCTTTATCTATTCTTCCCCTGAGAAGTTTCCAGATTCTGGCTATTACAAATAATGCTGTATAAATGTAGTTGAACAAATGTTTTAGTAGCATGATGGAATATCTTTTGGGTATATTCCTAAGAGTTGTATTGCTGGATCCTGAGGTAGGTTGATTCCCAATTTTCTAAGAAACCACCATAATGATTTCTAGAGAGGTTATGGAAGTTTGCATTCCCACCAACAATTGATGAGTGTTCCCTTTATTTAACACCTTCTCCAACATAGGTTTTCATTGGTATTTTTTCTTCATTTAAGCCATCTGACAGGTGTAAAATGGTATCTCAGAGATGTTTTGATTTGCCTTTCCCTGATGGCTAAGGATGTTGAATATTTCCTTAAGTATCTTTCGGCCATTTGAGATTCTTCTGTTGAGAGTTCTCTGTTTACTTGTGTATCCCATTTTTAACTAATTTATTTGGAATTTTGATGTCTAATTTCTTGAGATCTTTACATATTTTGGAGGTCAGTCCTTTGTCTGATGTGGAACTGGTAAAGACCTTTTCCCATTCAGGAGGCTGCCTTTATGTCTTATTGTCTGTGTTCTTTGTTTTACAGAAGCTTCTCAGTTGCTGGAGGTCCGATTTATTTATTTTTGCTCTCAGTGTCTGTGCTATTGGTGTTTTATTTAGAAAGTGATCTCCTGTGCCCATGCATCGAAGGCTACTTTCTACTTTCTCTTCTATCAGGTTCAATGTAGTCAGATTTATATTGAGGTCTTTAGTTTATTTGGACTTGAGTTTTGTGCATAGGAATAGATAAAGATTTATTTTCATTCTTCTACAAGTTGACATCATTATGCTAGTACCATATGCTGTAGATGCTTTCTTTTTTCCATTGTATAATTTTAGCTTCTTTGTCAAAAATAAGATGTTCATAGGTGTGTGAATTAATATCTGGGTCTTTAATTCAATTCCTTGGTAACCTGTCTGTTTTTATGCCAATACCAAACTGTTTTCAAAACTGTACTGTGTAATAGAGCTTGATATCAGGAATAATGATGCTTCCAAAAGTTCCTTTATTTTACAGGATTGTTTTGACTGCCCTAAGTTTTTTGTTTTTCCATGTGAAGTTGATTATTGTTCTTTCGAGGTCTATGAAAAATTGTGTTGGGATTTTGATGGGGATTGTATTGAATCAAAAGATTGCTTTTGGTAGGATTTCCATTTTTACTGTGTTGATCCTTCCTATTCAAGAGCATGGGAGATCTTTCCATTTTCTGGTATTTACTTTAATTTCTTTCTTCAAAGACTTAAAGTTCTTTTTGATCAAGTCTTTTACATCTTTGGTTAGTATTACCCCAAGACACTTTATGTTATTTGTGACTATTGAAAAAGGTAATGTATCTCTAATTTATTTCTCAGTTTCTTTATCATTTGTATATAGGAGAGCTACTGATCTTTTTTTGAGTTGATCTTGTATCCTGCCACATTACTGAAGATATTTATCAGCTGTAGGAGTTCCCTGGTAGAGCTTTTTAGGTCACTTATATATACTATCATATCATCTACAAATACTGAAAGTTTGATTTCTTCCTTTTCAATTTGAATCCCCTTGATCTTCTTTTGTTGTCTTACTGCTATAGCCAGAACTTCAAAAACTATGTTGAATAGATATCCAGAGAGTACACAGCCTTGTCCTGTTCCTGGTTTTAGTGGAATCAATTTGAGTTTCTCTCCATTTAATTTGACAGTGGCTTTTGACTTGTATTATATTGCTTTTTATGATGTGTTCCTTGTAACCCTGATCTCTCCAAGATTTTATTATGAAGGGTTGTTTGATTTTGTTGAATGCTTTTTCAGCATCTAATGAGGTGGTCATATGTTTTTTTCCTTTCTGTTTATTTATATGATTGATTACATTGTTAGATTTACGTATGTTGAACCATCACTTCATCTCTGGGATAAAGCTGATTGATCATGGTGGTTGATTTTTTTTGTGTGTTCTTGGATTCAGTTTGCCAGTATCATATTGAGTATTTTTGCATTTATTCATGAGTGAGATTGATCTATAAATCTCTTTCTTAGTTGAGTGTTTGTGTGGTTTCTGTAACAGGGTAACTGTAGCCTCATAAAAGGAGTTTGGCAATGCTTTTTCTGTTTCTATTGTGTGGAACACTTTGAGGAGTATAGGTATTAGCTCTTCTTGGAAGTTCTGGTATGTAACACCTGCATTACTCTCTAAGGTACTGTTTGCGAGCTAGGCAAGGGCCTGGAGATTAAAGGAACACACAAGAGATGTGGGTCATTCTTGTGGAGAGAATGCTGAATGCCATTTACTCAAGCTAGCATAAAATCTTAAATACCTAGCTGCTGCACAATGGAAATCCCCCCAGGCAAGCGGGAAATTACCAGGCTCAAGAATAAAGAAAACGCTAAGCTAACCACCAGTGGGGGTAGAGGGAGCACAGGAACAAACTGGATGTTTGGCCAGAAGCTGTCCTCGAGATGAACCCTGGGAGGAGGGGTAGCACTGTGGGCTCTACATTGGTAGAATTCTGTACTGAAGCCCTGGGGTTTTTTTTTGGGGGGTGGGGCTTTTGATGACAGGTTCTATTTCCTTGCAGTTTATAAACTATTTAAATTGTTTATAACAATTGTTTATAACAATTTAGATAATAATTTATAAACTGTTTAAATTGTTCACCTAGTCTTGATTTAATTTTGGTATATGGTACTTATGCAGAACATTTTCCATTTCTTTTACATTTTCCAATTTAGTGGGGTAGAGGTTTTTGCAGTATAACCTAATGATTCTGTGGATTTCCTCAGTGTCTGTTGTTATGTCCCCCTTTTCATTTCTGATTTTGGTAATTTGTATGTTCTCTCTCTTCCTTTTGATTAGATTGGATAAGGGCTTGTCTATCTTGTTGATTTTCACAAAGGAACAGCTCTTTGTCTCATTGATTCTTCGTATTCTTTTCTTTGTTTCCATTTTATTGATTTCAACTCTCAATTTGATTATTTCCTGCTGTCTACTCCTCTTGGGTGAGTCTGCTTCTTTTTGTTCTAGAGCTTTCAGGTATGCTGTTAAGTCACTAGTGTGAGTTCTCTCTACTCTCTTTATGTAGGCACTTAGAGTTATGAACTTTCCTCTTAGTACTGCTTTCATAGTGTCCCATAGGTTTGAGTATGTTGTGCATTCATTTTTGTTGAATTCTAGGAAGTCTTTAATTTCTTTCTTTATTTCTTCCTTGATTCACGGGTGGTTAAGTAGTTCACTATTCAATTTCCATGAGTTTGTAGGCTTTCTGAGAATACTGATGTTATTAAATTCTAACTTTAAACCATGGTGATCTGATAAGATACAGGGAGTTGCACCAATTTTTTTGTATCTGTGGAGGTTTGTTTTGTTACCGAGTATGTGGTCAATTTTAGAGACAGTTCCATGAGGTGCTGAGAAGAAAGTATATTCTTTTGTGTTTGGGTGGAATGTTCTATAGATGTCTGTTAAGTCCATTTGTGTCATGACATTTGTTAGTTCTTTTATTTCTCTGTTAAGTTTCTGTATTGTTGACTTGTCCATATGAGAGAATGGAGTGTTGAAGTCTTCTACTATTAGTGTGTGGGGTTTGATGCACGATTTAAGCTTTAGTAATGTTTCTTTTACATATGTGAGTGCTCTTATATTAGGGGAATAGAAGTTCAGGATTGAGACTTCATCTTGATGGGTTATTCCTGTAATGAGTATAAAATGTCTTTCTTTGGGAATTGTTACTGGTCTGCTCTGTACTTTCAGTGTCCGTGTCTCAGGGAGCCACTGAGGTCTCTCTTAGCCTGCTCTCTTGGTCCACTCTGTGCAGTCGCAGCTTATGCTTTAGTTTCTTCTCTTGGTCTTCTCTGTAGGAAACTTTCCTGCTGGCTGGCTAGAGAAACTAACACAGGTAGGGGAGAGGACCAGGGTTTTGCCCCACTATGGAGGGCCTAGAGAATGGGATGTCTCACCGGGTAACTTGTCATTCACCATTTGGTCCTCTCTGTATTGTAGCAGGCTGTATTTCAGAGTTCCATCTAGTTTTTAGGAGGATAGTCATGTTTGAGGGTGGCATAGGGCTTATAGCTTGCAGAGTTTGGGGGATGGGGTGGGTATTGGGGCAGCCTACCTGCAGAAACTCTCCTGCTGCCTGGCTAGAGACCCCGAGGTAAATGGGGGACGGGCCTAATGTTTTGCCCTATTATGGAAGACCTAGAGAGTGGGGTGTCCCACTAAGTGGCTCATCACTCACCTCTTGGTTCTGTCGGTATTGTATATAGCAGGCTATGTTTCAGAGTTCCAATGAGGTTGTAGAAGGATAGGCAAGTGTGCAGGTGTGGTAGGACTTGTAGTTTGCGCTGTCTGGTGGATGTGGGGAGGAATTCAACCCAGGATATCTTAAAACATAAATGAAACTTCAGATAGCAACATTTTCCATTAATTTGCACATACATGTTATTTACAGAGGTAGAAAGGGATTATCTATGAATATGAGTTTTCAAAAAGGATTTTTGTCTAAAATTGTGATTGTTAATTTTCCAAATGTACCCTTTAACCCAAAGAGATTTAATTTAGAACTTGAGCAATTAAAAGTCAATGACTCCATGCATTTGTCAGAGAGATGTGACCACATGAGAGATGAAATTCAAATATTATCAGACTTTCTCTCTCTTTTAAATAAGGTTAAATATTGGGAGAGTCTTGGTCCTACCTCAACTTGATATGCCAGACTTTGTAGGCCCCCATGGGAGACCTTACCCTTTCTGAGGAGTACATGGGGGTTGGGGAGAATGGTGGGGAAATGGGAGGAGGGGTAGGAGAGGGAACTGTGTTTAGTATGTAAAATGAAAAAACTTAAATAAAAATAATTTTAAAATAGGTTAAATATTAAGTTATTAAAATTTAAGCTTCCAAGGGATGGTGAGACAGCTCAGTGTTTAAGTGCTTGCTAAACAGAGACCAAGCTTGGTTCCCAATACCAATGTCTGCCTCTTCTAAACCACTCATAATGCCAATTCTATGGTGAATTCATGCCCTCTTCTGGTCTTCTTGAGTGCTGGACTTATATTAACAAGCCCTACATAGACACAAATACATACACAAAATAAAAATAAAACGCAATTCTTATTTAAAATTATGCTTATACTGAAGCTGTCTTATGAATCAATAACCAGTGAAAATCAAACCATTTCTCCAGCAGCAACATGAGACAAGGAAAAGTCAGTGAGTAACTGGGGAAATGGATACAATTTCAGATGGGGAAGGGTCTGCATGCATAAGTGCAGTAGTTTGTCATAGTGTGAAAAGGGTGATACAATGTTATACTTTGCATAATTCCAAGAACTCAGGAGTACCAGGCAAGAAAATTACCAGAGCATCAGTCATGCATATTTTAAAGAATGCACAGACTGTAGGGATAGTCCTTATTAAAATATTTCCAAGCTTGGAGTCGCAGGAAAAAGCAAATAAAAGTCATGGTGACTCTAGCCTTCCCGTCTCAGTATAAGAATCCAAATCAAAAGCCTTTTTAAAAGGTTTCAAACATTTTGGGCTGGACATGTTGGTGCATGCGTTTAATTCCAGCACTCCAGAAGCAAAGGCAAGTGAATCTCTGTAAATTCTAGCTCAGTCTGGTATACATATCAAGTTCCAGGCTAGTCAATGCTAGATAGTGAGACCCTGTACCAAAAAAAAAAAAAAAAAAAAAGGAAATAGAGACTCAGAAACAGGAAGAAAATAAAAACATAAAAAAAATTTTTGCTGCTTCAGGTTAAATTCATAGAGGAGTCATATAAGCATAGTCATAAATGCAGCTACTGATAAACTAGGTTTTAGCAAAATAAAAAAATCTTTACACTGTAAAAAAAAACACACAAGAAAAGCAAGAGCTGCTTTTGTCTGTGGGATCCTTGGACTGCCAGGAGTCCCTGTTCCTGTGCTGAGGAGATCCATCCAGACGGGTTAGTATGTGCCCACCCAGGGCAGACAGTCCAGGAAAGGAACACAGGACCACTCCAGCTCCTGCTGCAGGGGCTTCTTTATTCTACACGACCCTGCCTCCCATAAGCCTGCCCTATTGTCTGCAAGGTCCTTGGCCCAGAAATAGATCCTACTCCGGCACTGAGGAGATCCAGCCAGAGGGCACTCTTTTTCATCTGAGCGGTCCTTAGATACACCAGCACTACCCACTCCAGTGCCAAGAGGCCTTAAGAGAGGGCAGACCAAGAAAATTCTCAAGCACACAGTCAGTCAGAGCAAAGATTGGATCAAGACGCCAAGACTCTCCTAGCTGCATTTGAAGGAAGAGATGGGCAGGAGTCAATGCAAGAATTCCTCCAACAACCTGAAAGGCAACATGACAACACCAGAATCCAGGGATCACGCAACAAGACTTGAACACCCTATTCCAGAAGAAGTAGAAGAAATCGACTTTAAACGTAACATTATGAAAATAATAGAGGACCTTGAACAGAATGTGAAAAACTCCTTTAAAAAAATGAAGACAAATAAAAAGGTAAAAGAAATGAATAAATCTCTCAAAGATACTCAAGAAAACCAAGAAAAACCAATCAAAAAAGTAATGGAAACAGTTCAAGAATTAAAAAATGAAATGGAGGTAATAAAGAAAACACAAACCGAGAGAAAGCTGGATATGGAAAACCTGGATAAACAAAAAGGAACTACAGAAACAAGTATAAAATACAACACAAGAGATAGAAGAAAAAAAATCACAGACGCTGAAGATACTATAGAGGAAATAAACTCACTGATTAAAGAAAATAGCAAATTCAACAAATTCTTAACAAAAAACATCCAGGAAATCAGGGACACCATGAAAATATCAAACATAAGAATAATAGGGGTAGAAGAAGGACAATATTTACAGCTCAAAGGCCCAGAAAATATATTCAATAAAATTATAGAAGAAAACTTTCCCAACCTAAAGAAGGATATTCCTATGAAGGTACAAGAAGCATACAGAACACCAAATAGACTGGATCAAAAAAAATCCCCTCGTCTTATAATAATCAAAACACAAAACATACAGAATAAAAAAATATTAAGAGCTGCAAGGGAAAAGGGTCAAGTAACATATAAAGGGAAACCCATCAGAATTACACCTGACTTCTCTATGGAAACCGTGAAAGCCAGAAGGTATTGGATAGATGTGCTGCAGACATTAAGAGATCATGGATGCAAGCCCATACGACTATACCCAGCAATGCTTGCATTCACCATCAATGGAAAAAACATGATATTACAGGGGAAAAAGCTGATTTAAGCAATACGTGGCCACAAACCTAGCCTTACAGAAAGTAATAGAAGGAAAACCACAAACCAAGAGAGCCAAAAACACCCATGATAACACAGGCATCTAACAACCCTCCACCAGTACAACTCAAAAAAGGGAAAAACAAACACAACCAACAGATAAAATAACCAGAGTTAACAACCACTGGTCATTAATATCACCTAATATTAATGGACTCAATTCACCTATAAAAAGGCTCAGGTTAAGAGATTGGATGCAAAAACAGGACCCAACAACCTGCTGTTTACAAGAAACACACCTCAACCTCAAAGACAGACACTACCTCAGAGTAAAAGGTTGGGAAAAGGTTTTCCAATCAAATGGAACAAAGAAACAAGTGGGTGTGGCTATACTAATATATAACAAAATTGATTTCAAACTAAAATCAATCAGGAGAAATGGAGAAGGACACTTTATACTCATAAAAGGAACAATTAATCACGAGGAAGTCTCAATCCTGAATATCTACACCCCTAATATAAAAGCAATCACATATATAAAAGAAACATTACTAGAACTCAAAGAATACATCAAACCCCACACTCTAATAGTAGGAGATTTCAATACTCCTCTCTCATCAATGGACATGTTAACCAGACAAAAACTTCACAGAGAAATAAGAGAACTAACAGATATGATGAACCAAATGGACTTAACAGGCACATATAGAACATTCCACCCAAACAGAAAAGAATATACCTTCTTCTTAGCATCTCATGGAACCTTCTCAAAAATTGATCACATAATTGGTAACAAAGTAAACATTCACTGATACAAAAAAATTGTAGTAACCACCAGTGTACGATTGTATCACCATGGAATAATGTTAGAATTCAACAACAATTCTATTCACAGAAAGCCCACAAACTAGTGGAAACTGAACAGTTAACTACTGAACCACTCCTGGGTCAAGGAAGATATAAATAAGAAAATAAAGTCTTCATTGAATTCAGCGAAAATTAAGGCACAACTTATTCAAACCTATGGGACACTATGAAAGTTCATAGCACTAAGTGCCCAATTAAAGAAAATGGAGAAAGCTCACATTAGTGACTTAACAGCACACCTGAAAGCTCTAGAAAAAAAGAAACAGACTCACCCAGGAGGAGTAGAAGACTAGAAATAATCAAACTGAAGACTTAGTCAACAAAATAGAAACACAGAAAACAATCCAAAGAATCAATGAAACAAAAAGCTGGTTCTTGGAGAAAATCAACAAGATTGATGAACCCCTATCCAAACTAATCAAATGGCAGAGAGAGAACATGCAAATTAATAAGATCAGAAATGAAAAGTGTGACATAACCAGAGACACAGAGGAAATTCAGAGAATCATTAGATCTCACTACAAAAGCCTGTATACTACAAAATTGGAAAATGTGAAAGAAATGGACACTTTTTTATATAAGTACCATATACCAAAATGAAATCAAAACCAGGTGAACAATTTAAATAGACCTATAAGTCACAAGTAACTAGAAGCTGTTATCAAAAATCTCCCTGCAAAAAACAGCCCAGGACCAGATGGTTTCAATGCAGAATTCTACCAGAACTTTCAAGAAGAGCTGATACCTATACTGCTTAATGTATTTCACAAAATAGAAACAGAAGAGTCATTGCCAAACTCCTTTTATGAAGCTACAGTGACCCTGATACCAAAACCACACAAAGACTCAACCAAGAAAAGGAAATACAGATCAACCTCACTCATAAACATCGACACAAAAATTCTCAATAAAATGCTGGCAAACCAAATCCAAGCTCCCCACCAAAAATTATTCATTATGATCAAGTAGGCTTCATCCCAGAGATGCAAGACTGGTTCAACATAGTAAAATCTATCAATGTAATCCATCATATAAATAAACTGAAAGAAAAAACATATGAACATTTCATTAGATGATGAAAAAGCATTTGACAAGATTCAACACCCCTTTATGATAAAGGTCTTGGAGAGATTAGGGATACAAGGCTCATACCTAAATATAATAAAAGCAATAAACAGCAAGCCAACATTTAACATCACACTAAATAGAGAGAAACTTAAAGCCATCCCACTAAAATCAGGACAAGAAAAGACTGTCCACGCTATTCATACCTCTTCAATATAGTGCTTGAAGTACTAGCAATAGCAATAAGACAACATAAGGAAATCAAGGGGATTTGAATTGGAAAGGAAGAAGTCAAACTTTCATTATTTGCAGATGATATGATAGTGTACATAACCCCAAAACTCTACCAAGCAACTCCTACAGCTAATAAACACCTTTAGTAATATGGCAGAATACAAGATAAACTACAAAAAAAATCAGTTGCCTTCCTATACACAAAGAACAAAGAAGCAAAGAGGGATATCAAAGAATCATCACCTTTCATGATAGCCACAAATAGCATAAAGTATCTTGGAGTAACTATAACCAAGGAAGTGAAAGATCTATTTGACAAGAACTTTAAGGCTTTGAAGAAATAAATAGAAGAGGATACAAGAAAATGAAAGGATCTCCCATGCTCTTGGATTGGAAGGATCAAAATAGTAAAAATGGCAATTCTACCAAAAGCAATCTATAGATTCAATGCAATCCCCATCAAAATCCCATCAAAATTCTTCACAGACCTTGAGAGAACAATAATCAACTTTATATGGAAAAACAAAAAACCCAGGATAGTCAAAAAATTCTTATACAATAAAAGTACTTCCAGAGACATTACCATCCCTGACTTCAAACTCTATTACAGAGCTACAGTAATGAAAACAGCTTAGTATTGGCATAACAACAGAGATGTTGACCAATGAAATCTAATTGAAAACCCAGATATTAATCCACACACCTATGAACACCTGATTTTTGACAAAGGAGCTAAAATTATGCAATGGAAGAAAGAAAGCATCTTCAACAAATGGTGCTGGCATAACTGAATGTCAACCTGTGGAAGAATGAAAATAGATCCATATCTATCACTATGCACAAAAATCAAGTCCAAATGGGTTAAAGACCTCAATATAAATCTGACCACATTGAACCTGAGAGAAGAGAAAGTGGGAAGTAGTCTGCAACACATGGGCACAGGAGACCACTTGCTATGTATAACCCCAGTAGCACAGACAATAGGAGAATTAATGAATAAATGGGACCTCCTGAAACTGAGAAGCTTCTGTAAAGCAAAGGACACTGTCATTAAGACAAAAAGGCAACCTACTGAAATGGATAAGATCTTCACCAATCCCACATCACACAAAGGTCTGATCTCCAAAATATATAAAGAACTCAAGAAACTAGACATTAAAATTCTGAATAACCAGTTAAAACATGGGGTACTAAACTGAACAGAGAATTCTCAACACAAGAATTTCAAATGGCCAAAAGATACTTAAGGTCATGTTCAACTTCCTTAGCAATCAGAGAAATGCAAATCAAACAACTTTGAGATACCATCTTCCACCTGTCAGAATGGCTAAAATCAAAACCACCAAAATTCACCTATGCTGGAGAGGATGTGGGGGAAGGGGAACACTCATCCATTGCTGGTGGGAATGCAACTCATGTAACCACTCTGGAAATCAGTGTGGCAGTTTCTCAGGAAACTGGGAGTCAACCTAACTCAGGATCCAGCAATATCACCCTTGAGAATATACCCAAAAGATGCCCAATCATCCTACAAAAGCATTTGTTCAACTATGTTCATGGCAGCACTTTTTCTAATAGCCAGAACCTGGAAACAACCTAGGTGCTCCTCAATGGAAGAATGGATAAAGAAGGTGTGGCACATATAAACATTAGAGTTCTACTCGGTGGTAAAAAAAAATGACATCTTAAATTTTGCTTGCAAATGGATAGAAATAGAAAACACTCTACTGAGTGAGATAACCCAGACCCAAAGAGATGAATATGGTATGTACTCACTCATTAGTGGACTCTAGTCATAAACAAAGGACATTGAGCCCATAGTTTGTGATCCTAGAGAAGCTTAATAAGAAGATGAATCTAAAGAAAAACATATAGTCATCCTCTTGGATATTGGAAGAGACAAGATCACCAGGCAAAAGTTGGGGTGGGGGTGAGGTGAGGGGAAGGGGAGATGGGGTAAGAGAAGGGAGAAGGGGAGGTTGGGGAGAGCTTGAAGGAATGGGATGGTTGAGATGGAGGATGGGTGAATATGGGAGCAGGGAAGAAGATATCTTAATTAAGAGAGCCATTTTAGGGTTTCCAAGAGACTTGGCTCTAGAGGGTTTCCCTGGTGTCCAAGGGAATGTCCCCAGCCAGGTCCTTGGGCAGAAGAGGAGAGGGTGCCTGAACTGGCATTCTCACATAGCCACACTGATGAATATCTTGCATATCACCATAGAACCTTCATCTGGCAATGGATGAAGATAAAGACAGAGACCCACATTGGAGCACTAGACTGAGCTCCCAAGGTCCAGATGAAGAACAGAAGGAGGAAGAACATGAGCAAGGAAGTCAGGACCATGAGGGGTGTGTCCACCCACTGAGACAGTGTGATTGATCTAATGGGCATTTACCAAGGCCAACTGGACTGAGACTGAACAAGCATGTGATCAGACCAGACTCTCTGAATGTGGTTGACTGAGAAACCAATGATAATGGTATTAGGTTTTGATTCTACTGCATGTACTGGCTTTTTGGGAGCCTAGTCTGTTTGGATGCTCACCTTCCTAGACCTAGATGGAGGGGGGAAGGCCTTGGATTTTCCACAGTGCAGGGTACCCTGACTTCTTTTAGGACTGGAGAGGGAGGGGGAGGAGTGGAAGGGAAATAGGAGGAGGGTAGGAGGTAGACATTTTTAATTAATAAATAAATGAATAAAAGAAAATCAAGAACTGTGTATTAAGAGATGTATCTGTAAACAAAATCTATAAAAAGGAAACTCTCAAAACACAATAGTAAGAAAATAAACAACCTAATTCAAAATGAGCAAGTAACAAACACTGGTAATTTTGTAGAAAAGTCTCACCATTTCTACATTACTGCTAAAAATGAAAAATTGCAAAACACTATGGAGAATATCTTAGAAATTTCTTCTAAAACTAAGTGTGTACTTTTCATATGACTCACTAATTATGTGCCCTTTAAATATTTTTCTAAGCAAAGTAACTCCAATGTACAAATTCACCCATATACATAGACACATACACATAATTCGATATGGGATGTCCTTCTGTATATGTGTCACTTTTATTGGCTACTGAATAAAGTTGCTTCAGCCTATAGCAGGGCAGAGTATAGCCAGGTTGGAAGAGATATGGAGAGAAAGTATATGTAGCTGCTGAAAGAAACAGATGCCGGACCCTTACCAGTAAGTCACAGCCTCGTGCCAAATCACAGATTAATAGAAATGGGTTAATTTAAAATGTAAGAGTTGGTTATAATAAGCCTGAGCTAATAGGACAAGCAGTGTTGTAAAGCAGTCTCCACTTACAAAATGACATGCCAGTGTAGGAAAACTACATCCACATAAAATCTGAGAGAGCTTGGGAAGAAATTTCCAAAAAAAAGCACTCCTGGTCAGAAAATAATTATAGATATGCAGTAAAGATAGATTCAAATGAGAAAGACCTCTGATTGGGTCACAGTGTTGGATAAATGTATGAAGGCGAGAGAGAGAGAGAGAGAGAGAGAGAGAGAGAGAGAGAAAGAGAGAGAGAGAGAGAGAGAGTAAAAAGACTATAGACAGTTATAAACAGAAGTAAATAGCTTTAAAGAGACAGTAAACATAATATAAAACAGTACAGACAGTCATATAATAAAGGAGTAAAGAAAAATAAGCCATGTAAAGATGGAAAATATACAGAGAGTCTGAACTGTGTATATTTTTATGTTTTCTTTGAATTTTGACTGTAGAGAGACATTTGATTCTGGGGGCTGCTAAGGTAAACAAAGATAAACATATCTTGACTTCAAAATTTGGTTCTAAGGATATGTTGCTTTGGAAAAGAGGTTCTGATTTTACTTCCACAGAGGATGAGAAGCTTTGGATTTTCTTCAGGTCTAATGGTATGATCAACTAAGACCCCCCTGAGAAGTGTCCATGGGAGCAATGCCCTAGGTGCTCCAACATTCAGAACAGCTTCAAGACAACTGACTGAGATGATGCAGCCTCACAGACAACTACAGCCACATAGAACAACACACAAAGTAGCATACATACACAGACAGACCTCCACACACAGACTGACATAAATAAATAGATAAAAAATATTTTTATCTTTATTATATCTGTTCCCTTTGGAAGTGAAGGGTAGCTTTCCATTATAAAATTGAAAGCCTTTTTGATATTAAAATTATTCTAATGACTTTGATAAAACCCTAAAGTAATTTCATATTATTTTGAAGTGACTACTTATGAAGGACAATGGCATTTAGCATCTCCTCCCACTGTGCACCCCTCAGGTAAAGTGGTCCAACAAAAGGAGAAGGGCCTTTATCATAGAAAAAGACTCAAGCTAGCCCAAGAGGTCCAGGTCTTAATAAAGCAGCTCTTATAAATGGCTTCATTTTTTTTTCAGTTGGCAATGCTTAGATTCAATTATTTTGTTGTTATTTAAGAATTCTACATATGATCATAACTAGCCCCTGCTACTCTCTGCCAAGTCCCTTCCCAACATCATAGCCTTCCCTCCTTTATAAGCCACCATGTGCTGACCCAGTTAGCAATGTGCATATGGATATGAATGTGAAACCATTCACCAGAGCATAGACAACATACAAGAAGTCACACGCTGAGAAAAACTCGCTCTCACCCTCTCCAGGCAGCCATCAATAGCACCTCAGCTATGAGTGGGACCTCACAAGCCTTTCCTCCATTCTTTTGAAATGTTGACTGACTTTCTCTTGTACTGATCGTTGACAAACAGCCACAGCCACTGTTTGTATTTATGACCTCATAGATACAATGATGTCATAGATCTGGCTTACTGGTTAACCAGTTTTCAGATTCAGTGAAGAGTTTGCTCTGCCTTGTGTTCTAAATGTTTTTTAATAGATATAGCCAGAATATACATGAAGGTTTTTTTCTGTTTCAAGATCTAGAGATGCATGCAGAGCAAAATCCAGGAAAAGCAACCAAACTGATAGCAGATAGGAGTTTGAAGGAACAGACTCATGTCCTTCTTCCTTAATGCATCCCTTCATTTTCAATCTTTCCCCTGTGCCCATTTTGGGCCTTTCTATTTCCTGTCTCAGTCCACTCCAATCACAACTTCTGATAAACCATTTCCCTTAGTCACTGCATAGACAATAAACACAACTAACAATTTGCCATGTGTTGTTATAAATGTGTATTCATTAAGACTACTGTTTTTATTACATGTCTTTTACCATATAAAAATATGAAATCATTAAAAATAGTTTTTTGTACAGTTTCTGAGTCAATTTGACAAAGCTTGAAATTCCTATGTCTTTGCTAAATTTTGCCTCCATTCATCCCTTCTTTGCCTTTGCCATGTATATGTATTCATGTCATTCCCTCCTGTCACATATATAGAGAATGGGGACACAGCAGCCAGGATAATTTTAACTGACAGAGTCACCAACTAGGAACATAGCAGTTATCAAAATGTGAAACAGAAGGCTCCCCATCTACTGTTAACAGCAACAAATAGCGAAGTTAATACTACCAAACACACATAAATAGTTTGATTTAAGCATCCAAGTTGGCTATCAGATTAAGTATAACTAGAGTTAAAAGGGGCAGTAGATATGTACAAAATCCACCTCAGGTCTTCAGCATCTGCACTTCCACAGGAATGACCTTGACAGTAAGTCACCTGAACAGGAATGACCTTGACAGTAAGTCACCTGAACAGGAATGACCTTGACAGTAAGTCACCTGAACAGGAATGACCTTGACAGTGAGTCACCTGAACAGGAATGACCTTGACAGTAAGTCACCTGAACAGGAATGACCTTGACAGTAAGTCACCTGAACAGAAACCATTGTCTCTTTCCTCACTTATTATTAAAGACTTTCCAAATTCCCCCCAAGAGAGCTTTTTCTGAAGCTAGATGTCAGGTGCACACTTCTAATCCTAGAATTTGTGGGGGGCTAAGTCAGAACCAGCAGGTCTTCAATTATCAGCTGCATAAATTCGAGGCAAGTTTAAGCTAATGAGGTCCTGTCTCACAAAACCCAGCACCTGGAATTGTTAATTCTCCCCAAGCACAGGTGTGCCTACAGATTTCCCACAAGTGTATGAATTAATGAGGGAGACTCGGGCTCCATTTCTTCTTGTCTCACCCCAGCATCAGGTCTGACTCTGAGAGGGAAATGCCAACAATTTTAGCAAGCCTCTCCAATATTTGGGAAAGCAAATAAATGGGCCATTTCACTAATGCTTCCTCTGGTGGCATCTTTCATCAGATGTGCTGTTCTCATTCTATCTTATACTATGCTCTGCTGAAGTTTCCAAGTCTCCAGTAGAGCTGGTTCCCTCACATGCTGAATATCTGGTCCTCTCAACAGAGTGGTAGCACTTATGTTCCCTGCTGTAGTGGATAAAACAAAAGGCCTCGCCTCTATCCCTCTGTTCAACATACCATGTTTGGTCATTGCTCAAAATGCTGCAAGATACAAGAAATACTAAGCTGGTTTGTTTGTATGTAGTGCTCTGAGATACCGGACTCTTGTGTAATTTTGCTGGAAAGAGAAGCTAGGATGAGAAACTGAATTCTGTGCCTGGAATTCTAAATCTGGATCTCCAGTATTCACAGAGAAGTATAACAGCCTCCACAGCTGGTGTAGAAGGTCCTTCTGTGTTTGTGTTCCTTTCATTGGTTATTAAAGAAACTGCCTTGGCCTAGTTGATAAGGCAGATCTCAGGTAGGCAGGTAAGACAGAACAGAATTCTGGGAGGAAGAAAGCAGACACAGGCAGACGCCATAGTTCTCCTGCCTGAGATGAATGCTGGTTAGACTCATGCCGGTAAGCCACAATCAAGTGGCGATACACATTAATGGAGATGGGTTAAACTAATATGTGAGAGTTAGCCAATAATAGGCCAGAGATCATGGGCCAGGCAATAATTTAATTAATACAAGTTCTGTTTGATTATTTTGGGGGCTAAGCTAGCTGGGCAGGATGGAACAAAGGGGCTCCACACTCCTACAACAGTTTGGCGTCCAACATGATGGACTAAATCCACTTAAAAACCTGAGAGGGCTTAAAAAGGAAAGAGAGAGAGAGAAAGAGAGAGAGAGAGAGAGTTTAACACAGCTTTTTGCTGTTTGCTGCTGGTGTGCCACATAGAGATTTTCCTGATTCAGCTGTAGCAAGAAAAAAAAAAAAAGTTGCGCCATTTAAAAACGAGGCTTCTTGGGCCCTTCCACCAGTGCAAACTCTGGCTATGGACCATTTATGGGCACGGATGTTTGTGTACCCACTCGGGGTCAGGAACAAAGTATCTGAGACCATGTCTGTGGCTTGGCACTCCCTGCCTGGGTAGGCAGTGGGATCAGGTCTACTAGAAAGTGTCAGTTTTGAAATACCAGTTTCTGGACTGTGCCACCAGCATGACTTCTATCTCTTGCAGGAGACAGAGCATTTAAATGGGGTTTGTGACTAAAGCACTATGGTTTCTTTGATGGTAACTGGACTCACTGTGTGCCTAAAAGGGGGACATTGCATGCCGAGACTCAGAGGCACGAGTGACTCAGAGGCACAAGCAGCTCCGCCTTGTTGGACTGGGCAGGGCAAGCAGGCAGTACCTGTATTTGACTGTCACAGCTTAGATTCTTAAGAACTTAGCATTTTAAAACCACAAAGCTAAAGTGTTTCTGGACAGCAAAGAGTTACAGACTCACAATAGGACAAATTTAGGCATAAAAGACCTCTAGATGGGTCACAGTGTTAGATAAAACACGTAGGCTTGGGAGAAAAAAGATAAAGAGTATACGGAGTCTTAATACAGTTAATGCTTTAAAAAATGGGTAAAGTCTTTAAAGAGATAGAGTACAGATAGTCATAGATTAAAAAAATAAAAAATAAGCCTCGTAAAAATGGAAAATTCACAGATAGTCTAGATTGTATGTATTATTGTGTTTTCTTTAAATTTTTTGACTGTAAAGGAGCTAAGTACAGAAAGACATTTCATTGTGTGGTCTGCTAAGCTAATCCAGCATGTATATTATAAAGATATCTTGACTTTAGAATTTGGGTCTAAGGATATAATGCTTTGGAAAAGAGGTTCTTCTTTTGTTTTCACAGAGGATGAGACCCTGTAGATTGCTTCTATACCAATATGGTATGATAGATCATGCCCTCCTGAAAGGTTGCTGTAAACACCCTCAGAAAATTACTTCACTCAACTAATGACTGAGATGAACCTAGCAAACAAGGTTCATGATAAAAGACCTGAGTAACAGTGCCCCCATTCAGCACGAAGCAGTTTTGAAAGAAAAACTGTACCCATATTCCCAAATATTGTTTCTAAATGGTCTTTTACATTTAAATGGGGATATGAATAGATATGAATAGATATTTGCTTTGGTATAGATCTTGGTTTATTGATAGAAATCTAAGGTCAATTTTGTTATATGTATATGTAATTCTGATATTGATTAAGGTATTGTGATTGTGTAGTTCATTTAAAAATGTAATGTATAATTAGGAAATATAGGTTGTTAATGACTATTCATCAATAATAATCAAGCTTATAGTCATGCTAGTTAGATTTTCTAGATATATAGAGATATATTTCAGTTAGATAGGCATTCTCCATATCTATCAAAGACTACAGAATATGGCATTTAAAATGTTTTAATAACTTAAGGCTTTTCATGACAATGAGACATATCTGCTCCTGGCAGCACCAAGCTACTTCCTGAAGAAGATGGGCATCGAAGAGGTTTCTTATGGAGTTTGCTAGCCATTTGGGCAAGAAACCAATCCTGCCTAGACTGCTTAACTTGACACAAAGAACCCACAGAGAGAGGACTGCTAAAATTGCCTAAAGGTGAGATGATCCTTTGGGGTTCCTGATTCATGAAAGAGTTTGCAAGACATTCTGCAGGATACAGAAGAAAGTGACTGAACTTTATTTGAAGTTTCCTGCTTCATGGAAAATTCTGCAGGATACTATGGGAACTGTAGGCTGAAAATGGATGTTCTAATGATACAGAACAACTTTGGTTGACTGTCCAGGCAACAAGATGTCTCTGTCATTTCTAGAGTTTTGGAAGCTGCTTACAATGTACTTCCTTGTAACATGATGGCCCGCTTGTTGGGGTATCTGTTCCCGCCTGGTACCCCACAGTCGGCAAGTCCCAGAGAAAATCAATCACACAGAGTCACACAGAGATCTTTATAAGTTATAAAGCTGATTGGTCCATTAGATCAGGTTTCTTGTTAACTCCTATAACATATATTACCCCATTATCCTTATCTACGTTAGCCACATGGCTCCGTACCTTTCTCAGCTGGGCAAGTTACATGCTGCCTCTTCGGTGGTCTGCGCAGGAGTGGCGGAGGGAGTGTCCTGTGTCCCAGAATACTCCCAGTCTCTTTGCTCCACCCCTACTTCCGGTCTGGCTTTCCCACCTATACTGCCTGCCTGGCCAATCAGCGTTTTATTAAAATATGATTGACAGAATACAGACAATTCTCCCACACCATTTCCCTCTTTTTTTTTAAACAAAGGAAAATACCCATAGTCCATTTGTTGGGAATGTGGGCATAGTATTTCAGGCTACTTCCTGCTGGTTGGGGACGCTGATAATCTTATGGGGACCTAAAGAAAATTTAGAGTTATATTCATGTCCTGATTGGAGTATCCTGTGAGTCTGATCATCTCAGGCAGCAGTCTTGAACCTGTTCTGGATGAAGAACTCTGTCATCTGGGCCATCTATTCCTGTC